GGTTCGAACAAGCCGGCATTTAAAAATGGCGCCGGCCGGCTTATGCAAATGAAGCCCGGGAAATTCAAATCCCGGGCTTCATTTGCAAGTGCAGTATGCCTACATTACCCCGCTAGTTCGAACTAGCGGGGTAGTGTAGACATACCCTAAGTGCCACAGGACTTCTTGTTGTTTTAAAAGTTATAGACTAACACGGCCACCGCTCTGAGACTTTTAAACCAAGTACCTGTGAACACACTGGGTGTATTTCTCCGCCAGCCCTGCAGGCGAGTGACTACAATATGTCCAGTAAGTTACCTGGAATTCCTACCTACGCTTGTCAATCAACAAACCATTCACCTCCCCGTCCAACCGGCCCTAATGGTCAGTCAATGTGTCGCTCGGCTCTAGTTCATAGACATGGCAAAGTGGAAGAAATTGCCTTTCCTGGCCAACTTGGAAGACAGTAAGCCCGGATCACACCCCATCTCTCACTCCTGCAGCTGGGAGGTGCACATCCCAGTCTGGCAGAGGTACCCACACTAGCTTGGATCGAGCCAGCGTGCCAACAACAGCCGTGTGACAGCAGCCCCCTACCGATTCCAAGCTCCTGCCTGAGCCACCACGGCCGCGCTGCTACTTTCAGCATCTCCCTGCTGCAATGTGAACCGGAGGGAGCCGGGCTTTTTACAGCGCGAGAAGGGGGTTCCCATCCAGAGACTGTCTGAAATGCCATCTCGGCTCTGGGCACAGCTCAGCTAGAACCCAGACAAGGCTCTCCAGACAACCTGCCATCTGCAGATTGTGGCTGGGTCTTTCCTCCTCCTCCATGTGAGAGAGCTCCTAAACCCCCTCAATTTACGTGCGCAGTTTGTATTTATGACGGTGCACGACGCAGACTTCACACATCATCCCAAAACAGGAAATGTACAAAGTCAGTCAGACTCGTCAGTCTGCAGCGGCTGCTTGACCTACAACGCGTCTTCACTTTTTAATTATTTTTGAGCATTATTTGAACTATTTAGTTTAGTTTTCCTCCATTTCTGTAGTCAGTTTTGGTATTTTTAGGGTATGAAATGGGTTTCCAGGAATGGAACCACCATTTATAACATTGTGCCTATGGGAAGTAAGGGTTCAACATATGAGGGTTCTCCAGGAACCAATTAGGTTGTAAGTGCGAGGGTCGCCTGTACCCTTACTATTCATATGTACAGCACCTAGCGTAACGGAGCCCCCAGATGTCACTGTTCTACAACTCACCAACCAACAGCTGTGGGACCAAGCCAGGTTTTGACCCAAATTTTGACATAGCTGCAGGGAAACATCTAACAGCTCAGATGATGCTGAATAATGAATAATTCAGTCCATTAACTTCCTCCATGCCCCCAAGTGACAAACCAAGTACCTCAGGAGGTCCTCTGGCACCTTAGAAACAAACAAAACTAAATAGGACCGCGAGCTTTTGTGGGTGATCAGATGATGAAGTGGGTTTCACCCAGGAAAGCTCATGGTCTTATGTTTTTTTGTTTGTCACTAAGGGTATGTCTACACTACCCCGCTAGTTCGAACTAGCGGGGTAATGTAGGCATACCGCACTTGCAAATGGCCAGCCATGACCTCCCCAGTCCGGAAAACCCCCTCATCCGGGACCAGTCAGGTCCTGAGGATGCTGGACCAGGGAGGACCAACCTGTAATATCCCGGGAAATGCTCCACCTCTGTGCATGCAGAGGGTGACAGGTTGGCACTTTGCAGACTGGACTGATTCCTTCCCAAGGGAATTGTCATTTCAGGGCCAGATTGGTGTCGAGTGTCCCTAACAGTCCTGGTTCCGCCTGATGGGGGTACCCCCGAGTGCAGGCCCTGGGACACAGAGCAAGCCGGGAAAGCCTGGGGCACGAGGGAAGGGTGCCTCAGTGGCCGCGCCCCAGCATGCAACGCTGCAGAAATACAAGGGCTGTGGCCCAGAGAGCAGCCGGGGAAGGCTGAACATAAGAACGGCCACCCTGGGTCAGACCGACGGTCCAGCTAGCCCGATGTCCTGTCCTGACAGTAACCACTGCCAGGTGCTTTCGTGGGCGCATTTGATTGCTTAGGTACGATCCCCTGATGTTCAATTTTCATCTCAAAACACAGAAAAGTAGAACAAAGCCCGCATGCATTGGGCCAGACACCAAGTTATTTACCTCTCCTTCATGCTTCTCATGATGTTTGCTAGTCTAGGCATCTGGAAGGGAAACAAGGAGGTGGGGAAAAAAAGATGACACAGAATACAGGCTCTCTTTGTTGATGACTCTAGTCGCAACAAACGTCAGTTTGGACCAATAAAGCTGCAGCGTGCCTGTCAGAGGTTGGAGCAGGGGCTGCGCGTCAGGACTGCTGGGCTCCATTCCCACCTCTGGGAAATACCGTACGGGCGTGCTTAGAGACGGGGGCCTACAGACATGGACTCTTGGAGTCCCTTCTTGGAGGTGTGCCTTCAGACTGGTCAAAACGGGGACACGACCCCTTCACAGCTCTCGCCCTGTCTGCCAGGCCCATGTAGAGCATGTCTGAGGGGGTCCATCCACGCTTGCGGTGCGGGTGTGATTTCCAGCTCGAGTTTAAATATACAGGCGACCCCCGACTTACAACCGCCCGACTTACAACTCCCTGCATTTACAACCATTCTTTCCATGTGAGAGAGCTCCTAAACCCCCTCAATTTACGTGCGCAGTTTGTATTTATGACGGTGCACGACGCAGACTTCACACATCATCCCAAAACAGGAAATGTACAAAGTCAGTCAGACTCGTCAGTCTGCAGCGGCTGCTTGACCTACAACGCGTCTTCACTTTTTAATTATTTTTGAGCATTATTTGAACTATTTAGTTTAGTTTTCCTAGTTTAGTTTTCAGGCAGGGGATGCCGTCGCCCCTGTATCGCTGGGAACGGAGCCCCACCCCTCAGAATCGAACCCAGGTCTCTTAGGCGCGCCCCCAAATCACTGAGTGCTTTTTCTGCAAATAGAAAGCAGCATGTGCAGGGGGTTCATCTTGCCCCTGGGCTGTCAGAGGTCCCTCCCTTCCCCCACCGCCGACTCTGCTAAACTCCTCAAGGCCAAGTTCCGGCTCACACCACGCTGGCAGCTCAACGGGGCTGTCTCGTGGGCCGAAATGATTCACCCCTTTCAGCTCTCTTCACGCCGGCCGAGGGGCGCAAATGGGGCTCAGTGCCGCTCGGGAATCAGGCTCCCTGGTTGTTCAATAAATGCCGAGGAGGTGAGACATGAAGGAGCCTTACTATTGGTTTGGCAACCCAGGACACGAGGCTTCGAAGCCAGCCTGGCGCTTTGCACAACAGGAGGAATTGCTTAATGTTGGGCTCTTCTAGCTCCCCTTTGCTGAAAGAGAACAAGACGCTCAGTTTAGTACAGGGGGGTTCAACCTTTTTTTCCCCTCACGACCCAGTTGAAGAAAAGCTGTTGATGCTGCGACCCAACATCATTTGACTAGAGTGCAGGCTCTGAGGTGGGGCTGAGTATGAGCTTTGGGGCATGGGGGGGGGGGACCGCCGGCTTTGG